TTGCTTCCATTTCTTTGCTACTGTAAATAATGCAGCAGTAAACATAGGGGTGGATATACCTTTTTGAATCAGGGATTTTGTTTTCTTTGGGTTAATTCCTAAAAGCGTAATTTACAGTATTTCTAATTTTAGTTGAAGAACCTCCATACTGTTTTCCACAGTGGCTGCACCAATTTACACCCCCACCAAGAGTGTAAGAGGGTTCCCTTTCTCCACATCCTTGCCAGCACCTGTTATCTCTTGTCTTTTGGATAGTGGCCATTCTAACTGGTGTCAGGTGATAGCTCTTAGTATTTTTGATTGCTATTTCCCTGATGATTAGTGGTGTACAGCATCTTTTCATGTGCCTGTTGTATTTCTTCTTTGGAAAAATGTCTGTTCAGGTTCTTCACTCATTTTTTAATCAGGTTATTTGGATTTTTTTGGTGTTGAGGCATATAAGTTCTTTATATATTTTGGATGTTAACCCCTTATTGGATAAATCATCTATGAATATATTCTCCCATACTGTAGGTTGCCTTTTTCTTCTGCTGATGGTGTCCTTTGCCGCACAGAAGCTTTTTAGTTTGATGTTGTACCACTTGTTCATTTTTTATTTTGTTTCCCTTGCCTGAGGAGATGTGTCCAGGAAAAATTGCTCAAGAGATTTTTTGCCTGTGTTTTCTTCTAAGAGTTTTATGGTGTCATGTCTTACATCTAGGTCTTTAATCCATTTTGAGTTTACTTTTGTGTATGGAGTTAGACAGGGATCCAGTTTCATTCTTTTACATGTAGCTGTCCAGTTTTCCCAACACCAGTTATTGAAGTGGCTGTTTTTTCCCCGTCATACATTCACAGCTCCTTTATCGTATATTAATTGACCATATATGCATTGGTTTATATCTGGGCTCTCTATTCTGTTCCATTGATCCATGGGTTTGTTCTTGTGCCAGTATATACTGTTTTGATTAATGTAGCTCTGTAGTATAGCTTGAAGCAGAAAGCATAATACTCCCAGCTTTGTTCTTCTATCACAGGATTTCTGTGGCTATTCAGGGCCTTTTGTGGTTCACATATGAATTTGAGGATTATTTGCTCTAGTTCATTGAAAAATTCCATTGATATTTTGATAGGGTTTGCATTGCATCTGTAAACTGCTTTGGGTAAGATGGCCATTTTGACAATATTAATTCTTCCTATTCAGGAACATGGGCTAGATTTCCATTGATTTGTGTCTTCTTTAACTTCTCTCAGGAGTGTCTTACAGTTTTCAGAGTACAGGTCTTTCACCTCCTTGGTTAGGTTTATTCCTAGGTATTTTATTCTTTTTGAAGCAATTGTAAATGGGATTGTTTCCCTGATTTCTCTTTTTGCTAGTTTTTTGTTAGTATATGAGAACACAACAGATTTCTGTGTATTAACTTTGTATCCTGCCTGCAACTTTGCTGAGTCCAGTTATTAGTCCTAATAGTTTTTTGATGGCATCTTTAAGAGTTTTCTATATATAATAGCATATCATCTGCAAACAGTGAGTTTTACCTCTTCCTTTCCAATCTGTATTGCCTTTATCTTGTCTGAGTGCTGTGGCTAGGATCTATAGTACTATGTTGAATAAAAGTGGTGAGAGTGGACATTCTTGTCTTCTTCCTGATCTTAGAGGAAAAGCTTTTAGCTTTTTGCTATTTAGTATGATGTTAGCTGTGGGTTTCTCTTCATTGGCCTTCATTATGTCAAGGTACATACCCTCTATACCCATTTTGTTGAGAATTTTTATCATGAATGGATATTGAATTTTGTCAAGTGATTTTACACCATCTATTTAGATGATTATGTGTTTTTTATCCTTCTTTTTGTTAATGTGATGTGTTATATTGATGGATTTACAAATATTTTACCATGCTTGCATCCCTGGAATAAATCCCACTTGGTCATGATGGTTTGATGTATTTTTGAATTTGGTTTGCTAATATTTTGTTGAGTATTTTTGCGTCTATGTTCATCAGGGATATTAGTCTATAACTTTCTTTTTTGTGTTGACTTTGTCTGGTCTTGGTATTAGTGTGATGCTGGCCTCATAGAATGTGTTTGGAAGTATTCCCTCCTCTTCTACTTTTTAGAATACTTTAAGAAGGATGGGTATTAGTTCTTCTTTAAATGTTTAGTAGAATTCAGCTGTGAAGCCATCTGGTACTGGACTTTTGTTTGTTGGGAGTTTTTTGATTGCTAATTGTGGGTAAAATTATAATTATTTCCAGAATATCTCCCCTGGCCTCCCTCTTTCGTACTTGCTTGATAAGTTATTGGTCTACTACCTTTACTGTGGGTTTATTTTCACTGGTGAAAACTATTTAGGCTCAAGAACACTTACATCTACAGATGTCTTTTATATATCCTGTAATACTGGCTTAGTGGTTGTAAATTTCTTCAGCCTTGGTTTTCTGGGAAATTTTTAATTTCCTTCGAATTTGAATGATAATCTTACTGGGTAGAGGATTCTTGGATGAAGATCCTTCTGTTTCAATATGTTAAGTATTTCATGCCATTCCCTTCTGGCCTATAAAATTTCTGCTGAGAAATCTGCTGATAGCCTGATGGGGTTTCCCTTATACATAATCTTTCTTCTGTCTCTGGCTGTTTTCAATACCCTCTCCTTATCCTTAATCTTTTGTCATTTTAATTATTATATGTCTTGGTGTTGCCTTCCTGGGGGTTCCTTTTGTTAGGGGATCTCTGAGCTTTCAGGACCTGGGTGTCTATTTCCTTTCTCAGATTGGGGAGGTTTTCAGCAATTATTTCTTCAAAACTTTCTACCTCTTTGTCTCTCTTTTCTCCTTCTGGTACCCCTATTATGTGAACATTGTTTTGTTTGGAGTTGTCACACATCTTTCTTAGCATCCTCTTGTTTCTAGAGATTAGTTTTTCTCTCTGTTCCTCAGCTTTGTTGTCTTCCTGTTCTCTAATTTCCATCTCATTCATTGTCTCCTCTACTTGCAGCAATCTATTATTCACTTCCTCCCTTGTATATTGCGTTTCAGTTACTGTATTCCTTATCTCTGAGTAGCTCTTTTTCAGCTTTTCTATCTCTGTTGTAGGCCTCTCTGAGATTATCCACACTTTTCCACAGATCAGTAAGCATATTTATGATGTTACTTTGAAATCTTTATTCAAGAAGATTGGTGATCTTCATTTCATTTAGCCATATATCTAGTGTCTTATCCTGCACTTTTGTTTGGAACATATTCCTCTACTTTCTCATTTTGTCAGGGTTCCTGTGTTTCTTTGTACTGATAAGTCTGCTATGCTTCCTGGTCTGCAGAACAATGGCTTTATGAAGAAGATATCCTGTGGTGTCCAGAAGCTCAAGATTCTTTACTCTCCAGTGCCTGGTTTTCCTTTACAATGGAGCCCCAGTTGCTGCTGGTGGGCTATGGGTGGGGCTGCCTTTCTATCTCTCTCTGCTAGCAGTGGTTTACCTCAGTCACCACAGACGACAGTTCACATCAGCTAGCCCTTTGTGAGCCAAGCAGTGGAGGTTCTGCTGGGATTGTTGTGGGCCGGACCACATTCTGTCTGCCCTGAAGCAAAGGCAAGTGCTTTATGGGTGCATGGCACACTGGGCTGGGCTATCCACAAGGAAGGAGTGCTAGGAGGTGGCTCCCACAAGTATTTACTCAGTTGTGCTGAAATAGGGCCCAGAAAGTTAGGATAACCTCCTTCTGCCTGCCAGCCAGCAAAGTCTGACACTGCTAGGCTGAGAGGGCTGCATGGGCAGGCAGGTAGTGTGCAGGAGCTGAGCTGCCAGCAAGGGAGATGGAGTGTCTGGGACTCCTGTGAGTGCCTGATCTATTGGGCTAAAGGAGGGCTAGGGAAGTGCCTGATCTGCTCTCTCTCCTGTGGAGCGAGCTCCATTCAACCATCACCCTTCTGACACTCTTCCTGCTGCTGGTAAGTCTTTCAAACTGCTGCCTCTGTGTTGGATCTCAGTGGGATTGAAAGAGCATGCCTGTTCTCCACAAGCAGCAGGAGTCTCAACCTCCAGAATGCTCTAACTCTCCCTGCTGTCCAGCTCCACTAATCACCAAAGCCTGAAGCAATGTGGACTTGTCTTCCCAGAGCAGATCTCCAGGACCAGGTGTGAGGTGTTCTGAACACTTATCCCATCCCCAATCTGTTCTTCCTCCTGCTTGATGGCCTCTTCTTCCCTATGTGTAGATGGTCTGCTCTGCAGTCTGCGTGTCGTTTTCAAGGTTAGTTGTATTTTCTGCAGTTGCTTCCTTGGTATGTGTGTGTGGGAGGAGGTTTCTGCCTTGCCTTCCTACTCCACCATCTTTTATTTCCCTCAGGTCATTTTCACAGTTAGCTTATTAGATGTAGTTGCTTCCTCAGTGTCTGTGTGGGAGGAGGTTAACACAGTGACCTCCTATTCTGCCATCTTCATCACCCCACTAACCAGGCTTTTAGACAACAACCTAAACTCTCTGGGAAGTTAAATGGAGAACATCCTAGAAGTGACTCAAAAGTACCCTAAACAATTGAACTTATTACTAAATGAGGAGGACTAATTAGGAATTGTCCAGTCTAGGCTAGTGTTTTTCTGAATGCAAGGCTTCAGATGAAAACCAGATTAGTCTTAGGACTTTGGATAACTTAGGATGTAAAACTTGTCATTAGCTTTGAAGGTCAGGTAGTGAGATGAATGGGGACATTTATGACATTGTAAGTTAAATTTTCTCCCAAAGATTAACTATTTACTACTGATATTTATACTGATATGACTAAGGGATGACATTTCTTGCTCCTAGTTTCTGGGATATACATGACTTGCCTTTTCTTTTGATTTTTTAAATCAACTAAGCCTTATCATATTCTCCAATTTAAGAATTATATAGTATTCATCTGGCAAAACCTTCCTATCTTGAAAGTAAATATAACCTTTTTTTAATGGAATCATTTTTCTTGCTCCATTTTAAAATAATTTCAATTTATATAGAATTAGCATAACCAAAATGATCTCTTCTCACCTCATAGTCCTTAAACAGTTGGCGCATAAAGAAAAGCCATCCAAATCCAAAGAAAAGTATCTAGAGGAGAAAGAAGATAGAATGTCAAAATACATAATCCTTTGAGAAATGCCTAATCAGACTATTTTATGACAAAATGTCTATTGACTAGATAGTTTACTTATTTCAGAGAATAAAGATGAGATCCACTCGTGTAATATCTATTAAAGTCCATAACATTGCGAGTAGACATTGAAATGCTCTTCAATTTTGAAATTATCAATGTTTTAGAATGTTTAAGTTGGATAAAAATGAAAGCACATTATTTTTCCTGTAATCTTACAATACTCATTTTAGGACCTAGAGAAGTTAGCAAATAAAAAAGAGTGAGTGAAACTTGCTTCTTACAGATGATCCCCGTTTGCAAATATTTAACAAAACTTGATGGGAAAGGAGTTGAGATAAAAAGAAAAAGGAAAGTAACAGAAAGAGATATGTTTTTCTTCATTGGGCTTTATTAGCTCTCTATCATCCTGCCTAATCCATATAAGGTAGTTTCCATCTCAGTGTAAAGCCAAGAGACTGTAGGATCCCACTTTGTCAGTTTTGGTTCAAGTTGGCATCAGAGATAACAGCCACATGACAGCTCTGTTCAGTGTTCTCAAAGCTAGTTTATTTTGCACTGGTAAATAGAACCTTCTTTATACACACACAACCACAATCTGGCAACTTTTTTCTTATATTGGTTAGGAACTTTATCTAAGAATAAAATTATTTTATGCCTTTCCATTGAGTTTAGGTGCAAGTGCAAACTCTTGAGCACAGTTTAACACAGACTCCTCCAGCCTCTGTGGTGTCCTTCCTACCCACCAAACTCATATTTTCAGTCACATGGAATGCCTTTAGTTCTCTCTTTCATATCAAGACCTCTGCAGATGTGGTCTTCTGGCAGAAACTTCTCTCCAGTCCCCATAGGTCTTCATTTAACTATTACTACATCTGGAAGGCCTTCTCTGACCTCCCAAATAAAGGTAAATTATTGTTTTTACATAATCCTATTCTACCCTCTTTTTCCCTTATGAAAGACTTACCACACAGATTTTAAAAAGACTTACTACACAGATTTTTAATGTCTAATTTAAATGTATACATTTTCTGAAACACTGAATTGTAAGCTCTGTAAAGATAAGGATCACATTAATCTTACTAATTTTTGTATCCTCAGCACCCAGCACAATGCTTAGTACATGGCAGGCTCTTCATAAATGTTTGCTGAATGGACAAATGGTCCACACTGATAGATGGTTTGTTCTTCAGGAACACTCAACCTCAATTTTTTGGTGATCACTTCTATGTGCATTGCTAGATGCTGGAAATACATAGATGAGTAAGGTAGTCACCACCCTCAAGGAGCTCAAAGTACAGTGGTCAATACTCCAAATAAATAATAACAAATTTAATATAGGACATGCAATGATAGATAGTGTGAAAGAATATGAAACAGGGAGGTCAAGCCAATCTGCAGGAGGAAGGACAGATTTTCTAGAGAAGATAATGCCTTAGCTGAAGAAGTTTTAATGTGATTAAAATCTGATATCATGTCAAAGTTTGGGATTATATGCATTTCTAGAGAGTTCCCAAGGTATTCAGCACACACTCAAAGGTTTCCACCATCCCTAAAAAAACACTACTCTCTTAAAAGATGAAAAAGTTAGGCAGGTAGAAGATAAGTAATGGAGCTAGGATTACAGGTCTTTCTTTTCAGAAAGCAAACAGCATGAGTAAAGGCACAGAGGTAAGAAATACCATGGTATATATTGGGCACTACACATGGTGTGGTGCTGCTGGAAGATAAAATTCAAAGAAGGATGCAGTTAAAAATGAGGTAAGAGGGAGAGGATTAAAGATGGCGGCATGACATAGTAATCAAGACAATTTGGTACTGGCACAAGAACAGAGCCACAGACCAGTGGAATAGATTAGAGACTCCAGACATTAACCCAAACATATATGGTCAATTAATATTTGATAAAAGAGTCATGGACATACAATGGGGAAATGACAGTCTCTTCAACAGCTGGTGTTGGCAAAACTGGACAGCTGCATGTAAGAGAATGAAACTGGATCACTGTCTAACCCCATACACAAAAGTAAATTCAAAATGGATCAAAGACCTGAATGTAAGTCATGAAACCATAAAACTCTTAGAAAAAAACATAGGCAAAAATCTCTTGGACATAAACATGAGCGACTTCTTCATGAACATATCTCCCCAGGCAAGGAAAACAAAAGCAAAAATGAACAAGTGGAACTATATCAAGCTGAAAAGCTTCTGTACAGCAAAGGACACTATCAATAGAACAAAAAGGTACCTTACAGTATGGAAGAATATATTTGTAAATGACAGATCCGATAAAGGCTTGACATCCAAAATATATAAAGAGCTCATGCACCTCAACAAACAAAAAGCAAAAAATCCAATTAAAAAATGGTCAGAGGAGATGAACAGACAGTTCTCCAAAGAAGAAATTCAGATGGCCAACAGACACATGAAAAGATGCTCCACATCGCTAATTATCAGAGAAATGCAAATTAAAACCACAATGAGATATCACCTCACACCAGTAAGGATGGCTACCATCCAAAAGACAAACAACAACAGATGTTGGCGAGGTTGTGGAGAAAGGGGAACCCTCCTACACTGCTGGTGGGAATGTAAATTAGTTCAATCATTGTGGAAAGCAGTATGGAGGTTCCTCAAAATGCTCAAAATAGACTTACCAATTGACCCAGGAATTCCACTTCTAGGAATTTACCCTAAGAATGCAGCACTCCAGTTTGAAAAAGACAGATGCACCCCTATGTTTACTGCAGCACTATTTACAATAGCCAAGAATTGGAAGCAACCTAAGTGTCCATCAGTAGATGAATGGATAAAGAAGATGTGGTACATATACACAATGGAATATTATTCAGCCATAAGAAGAAAACAAATTCTCCCATTTGCAACAACATGGATGGAGCTAGAGGGTATTATGCTCACTGAAATAAGCCAAGCGGAGAAAGACAAATAGCAAATGATTTCACTCATCTGTGGAGTATAAGAACAAAGGAAAAACTGAAGGAACAAAACAGCAGCAGAAGCACAGAACCCAAGAAGGGACCAACAGTTACCAAAGGGAAAGAGACTGGGAAGAGTGGGAGGGTAGGGAGGGATAAGGGCGGGGAAGAAGAAAAGGGGCATTATGATTAGCATGTATAATGTGGGGGGTAGGGGAAAGGGGAGGGCTGTGCAACACAGAGAAGACAGGTAGTGATTCTAAACATCTTAGTATGCTGGTGGACAGTGACTGTAATGGGGTTTGTGGGGGGGCCATGGGGTAGGGGAGAGCCTAGTAAACATAATGGTCCTCATGTAATTGTAGATTAATGATAAAATTTTTTAAAAAGTAAAAAAAAAAACAATAAAACTAACCTCTTGTTTAGTTTGGGTTCAAAGTGTTCCCTACCATCAAAAGCAATTGCAATTGCTCATTAGTTAATGCTGACCTAGATGAGATTTTACATACTCATCTTTGAAAATGTGTTTTGCACAGATGTACAGCCATATGCTGACATTAATACAAGCTTGTAATTTTCTTAATTGAGATAAAATTCACATACTACAATATTCACCATTTTAAGTGTAAAAAAAAAAGATGGTGGCATGAGAGGTGAGACAGAGGCTTCCTCCTAAAATGGCATATAATATGAAAATATAATCAATACGACTAATCCTGAAAGAGCAACAGGAAAGAGGGCTGCGTGAAACTGCATACACCTGTAGAAAAAAATAAACCTCATGGAACAGGGTTGGAAACTTTCCTGATATTCAGGTGCTCCAGCTCCCTGGCTTGCTACACAGCTCAAAGGACCCCGTCTGTGATACACAGCCTGCTGTGCCTTTTTCCTGGCCAGCCCCACGTGGCTCGCAAACTGGCAAACATTACCCTGGCGTTAAGTCAGCCAGAGTGAAGCCCACAGCAACCACAAACACGAAGCATAGAGGCTTATACCTGTGTGCTTGGCCCGCTGGTTCTGGCAGTGGAGTCAGGCATAGCAGCCGGGAAGCAGGAAACAGCTCTTTCCCCCCACCAGGCACCAATAATGCTTGCCTGCGACCCCTGACACTGCTTCAGGGGCTAAGCAGCTCCAGAGAGTAGAGCTTCTGGGCACTAGAGGGCACCATATACAAATATGAAAAGCCAAAGAAACCTGGTTGAAAGTAAAATTATGGATACAACACCTGAGAAACAGTCCGATGAAATCGACCTCATGAATCTTCTTGAAAGGAATTTCAGAATAAAAATCATTAACATGCTCATGGAGGTACAGAAAAATATTCAAGAACTCAGGAATGAATTCCGGTCAGAGATCCAATTGTTGAGGGGCACAATAGAGGGTATTAAAAGCAGATTAGATAGGGTGGAGGAGATAAATGAAATAGAAATTAGAGAAGAGGAATACAAAGAAGCTGAGGCACAGAGAGAAAAAATGATTTCTAAGAATGAAAGAATATTGAGAGAACTGTGTGACCAATCCAAATGGAACAACATTTGCATTATAGGGGTACTAAAAAAAGAAGAGAGAGAAAAAGGGATAGAAAGTGTCTTTGAGGAGGCAATTGCTGAAAACTTCCCCAATGTGGGGAAGGAGATAGTTTCTCAGGCCATGGAGGTGCACAGATCTCCCAACACAAGGGACCCAAGGAAGACAACACCAAGACATATAGTAATTAAAATGGCAAAGATCAAGGATAAGGACAGACTATTAAAAGCTGCCAGAGAGAGAAATGAGATCACATAGAAAGGAAGGCCTATCAGGCTATCATCAGACTTCTCAACAGAAACCTTACAGGCGAGAAGGGAGTGGCATGATGTATTTAATGCAATGAAGCAGAAGGGCCTCAAACCAAGAATACTTTATCTGGCAAGATTACCATTTAAATTTTTTTTTTTTCAGCTTTTTCTTTTTTTTCTTTTTTTATTTTATTTATTTATTTATTTATTTTTATTTTTATTTTTATTTATTT